CAATGATAATAATGCCATTATTTGCCGATCAATACGATAACGCACAGAGAGTTATGGAAAAGGGATTTGGGATTAGACTTAATCCGCACACCGTTTCAGAGCAGGAATTGCTTAACTCTATTGAAAACCTATTGAATGACAAGGAATTAAAACACAAACTATCCATCGCTTCAAAACGTATGCTTAACTCAAATAGCATTCAAAAAGCGGCCGAAAATATTGAAAATTTGATTCAATAAGTTTTTAAGATTTCCTACACTTATTGCATACTTGGAATCAAGTAATCTTTATGTTTGAATTATATTTCATTTATTGAACATTTTATATTTAACATAGATTAACGATCAAATGTTATTTTTAAGCAAATTAAAATTTTAAAATCTATTTAATTAAAATTGTATAATACAAATTTAATTGCTTTATTTCACCACAACTTATTAATTATTATATCACAATTTTCTGCTATTATATTTATTTAAAAAAATTATTAAATTTAATTTTAATATAAAATATTTCTGCTATGAGATGATAATAAAAACTACATAGCGTTTTATAACTTAGTTTATCAATTTATCGACCATGTACTAAACGACCAAAACACTAAATTATATTCATTATATGATCACATGTTTTATCAATCATTATTTTTATTTTATATCATTTGGTATAAAATGATTTTCACATTTCATACTCATTCATAAGCTTTCAAAATAAGGGAATTATTTGCTAACAAATTATAGTTATATTTAAACAAAAGTTATAACAAATCACTAACAATATGGTAAAAAAGTTAACCATTTTGTTGGCACCGCTCGAAGCGGTCGGTTCAGTGAATGCGTGCATAGGTTTGGCTGAAGTATTGCTGAGTCGCGGACACCGTATTGTCTTCGCTGTTAACCAATCATTTGCGGGAAAGTTATCGCCGTTTGGTTTCATCGAAGAGATACTCAATGACGAGACGGGAAAACTTCCCGCAGAATACTTTGCCAAAAGTCTACTCGCGTCGGGATTTTTGTCAGACTTAACGTCCGAAGAGTCAATACAAATGATGTGCGAAACACCGATATTTGCCGATTTGATCGACAAAATGAGAGCCAATGAACCGAAACTAAAGGCAATTATAGCCAAACATAATCCCGATGTGTATATTATCGATGACTTCGCCGGCTCTCCGACAATCATTCATTCAAACAAACCCTGGATTCGCATCAGTAGCTCTCAACCCCTGACTGGTATAAAGGATGATAGGACACCACCGGGATGTTCTGGTACGTTAATGTTGCATGTGCAATACAGTGTGTGTCATAACATTTACTAACATTGAAATGTGCTTTTTGGTGCATTTTTACAATGTTAACTTGAATTTACATAAAGTTATAGGTTTCGCGCACATCCATAGTCTATAGAGTTTAACTATGATAAATGAAATTATTGTAAACTAAATGTTATGTTATACTTATTTAGGATATCCTTCAGATAGTGATCGACAGAAATGGTCTGAATTTAAAGAATTGAAAAAAAATCTATTCAAATCCCAATTAATTAAATACAATGAATGGATGGAAGAAGAGGGCCATCCCTTACACACTGCGAATAAATCCATTTTAGAGTCGCCTTATCTTAATATCTATGGATATCCCGAAGAACTCGATTACACAGACATCCGACCCATACCTGAGAAGTGGATAAAAATCGAAACTTTTATGAGAAAAGGAGAACAAGAATTCAAAATTCCCGATAAATTTCGCGATAGAAATGTCGAAAAGTGTAAATTAATTTATCTCTCATTGGGTTCTATGGGTTCAGCAAATGTGGATCTAA